AGTGGGACTTTTCTCACTGACCTAGAGGCCACTTGCTTCTCCTCAGTCCTTTACCTTGCAAGGAGCACTACTTGCACGAAAATCTAAAATCCTCCCATTTTCATCCCTTTTGTTCCCAGGACAGGGGTCAAGGCAAAGCTCTGTGAGGCGGAAACCCTGGTCTCTGGTGTTGACTGGGTCCTCTTACCGCCTGTCTCCCCGGGGTCTCCCAGTATCAGCATCCAAGGCTGCATGGAGCTCCTGCTGTGAGCACTGTGGCTTGTTGGGGAGCTTTTGAGCTGATGCAGGGGGCCAAGCCTTCCTTTGTACCAGCAGCCTCAAGGGTCCTGGGCAATGCAAGCCACAGACCTAGCAAAACACCCAGGAATTCAAAGCGCAGTTACCAGTTCCCCACCCCTTAACAAATTCAAGAAAACCAGCAGACCCAGTGCAATACGTAAAATGTCACAGCCCCCACAGTCGTTCCGACAGAATCACGAAGCAAGAAGCAATAGCAACCCCAACCCAGAACTACCCACAAAGCGCAGAGCCAGCGGGTGGGCTAGCAGCGCAGGGACTACCGGAAACCGGGGGTCTCCTGTGAACCCCACGCGCAGCCACTGCCTTCTGGAGCCCAGAACCCCGGGGCTGGAGAGAAACCACGTAAACCAGGGAGCACTGGCAGAGAGCCAAGAGCGGTGCGATTGCCAAACTCAGGGCGAGCAAGTGCGCTGGCCGAGGCGACCCACCCTCACGGAAAGGGGCCGGTGTGCGGGGCGCAGCGTCTGCGGGAACCGACCCAGACGGATCGGCGTCTGTACCAGGAGAAAAATGCAGTCCTCGCTACAGTCCTCGGAACCGCGGCGGGTGCTGCCCCTCCTTGTGTGACAGCTAGGGGGCGGGCTCCGCAACGAGCCCTAGCGCTGGCGGCGGGAGCCTGGGAGTTCCGCCCAGCCGCGGCCCTGAACCGGCCAGACCACCGCGGAGACCGGCGCGCGAGGACCCGTCAACACCGGAGACCAGGGCTTCCGCCTCGGGGAGCTTTGCCTGGACCGGTCCTGGTGCTGTGGTCACCATTTTTATTTTTCTGCAAACAGCGCTATTTGCCCAGAAAAGGACGGAGGAGAAGCCAGTACCTGGAGGCCACGTTCCTTGGTCCCACCCCAGTGCGACCAAAGGACAAGGAACCAGGGGACCTCCAATCCTGAGCCTGGGGCTGGTCCAGAAACACTGGGCGCTGCTTGTGCTGGAATGCGAGAGGGTAGGGGGTGGGGTAGGAGCGGGGAGGGGTGAGCTCCAATCAGAGACTCGCCTACAAACCACCGCCCTGAGCACTTCCCACCACTGGCACCAGCCAGATCCCCAAGAGGCCACCCACTCTGCTACCTGGAGAAACACCAGGTACATGGGAGTCTGGATGAAGGAACAAAAATACACGGATTAAAATGCATTCCCACCTTGTCAATTTTTAAAGTTTTTTATTTCATTCCATTTTATTGTAAAAAAATATTTTCATTGACTTTAAAAAGACTAGGGAGGAGAGAGAGAGACAGACAGACATCAATTGGCTGCCCCTGGGGACTGAACCTGCCCTCCAGGTCAGGGAATCCAACCCAGGAGCCTTTGGTGCCCAGGCTGACGCTGTAACCACTGAGCCACAACAGCCAGCGTGGTTTTCTTTAACTTCTGCACCATAAGGATTCCCACAGAGAAGCCATTTTGGAGTAATTTTGTCTTTTATATTTATATATATATATTTTATATATATTTATATTTTTAAAAATATATTTTGTTGATTTTTTTACAGAGAGGAAGGGAGAGGGATAGAGAGTTAGAAACACTGATCAGCTCCTCGTGCACATCCCCCACCGAGGATGCCCCTGCAACCTAGGTACATGCCCTTGACAGGGATCAAACCTGGGTTCCTTCACTCCACAGGCCAACACCCTATCCACTGAGCAAAACCAGTTAGGGCTATTTTGTCTTTAAGAAGTTTCCTCATACCAATCAAACAATGTATTCTACTTTCTCCTGGAACTTCCTTTCTTTTTAAGGGCAGCCCTTAAGGAGGGCTATCTTAGGTAAGTTAAAGTTTCCCCAAAGCAGGCACTACAGTTCCAAACTATCCAAAAGCTCACCCAATTCCCCAAAGGCAAAGGATCCTGGTTTCTGTGTTGGCCCAGGAGGAAACCCCCTTCGCCTCTGGATTTCCTAAAACATCTAAACTGAGGGACCCTGTTACTCACCGGCTCTTCCAACACACAGGGACTCACGTGTTTCCCTGGTTTCAGTAGACCAGAATGAATTATCAAGAAGCTTCAATAGCGATGGCTCAGGACCAGAGAGCTCCACACTAAGGGAGTGGAGCTCAGAGCTGAGCTTTACCCTGGAACTCCAAGGCCCTGGGGGAGGCAGACAGGGCAGTGGGCTCAGGGGTACCAGCACCCGCTACTCACCAGTCTGAGGGGTCACCAGGCCTCTAGTCCCCACCCCGCTTCTTGGCCACAAGAACTGTTGAGAGAAAATTCGGAGCCCTTCCTTCCTAGGAAGACAATCTGAAAACCGGTAGGAAGCTCAGAGGCTGGGTTTAAGGGCAGCTTGTGAAGAGGACAGAGGAAGTAGCTTGCCCTTTGCAGTGATTGGTTGTCAGGACGGGACTTTCCTGGAGCCAGGGGATTGCAGAACGGGAATATATCGGTGTCTGGGTATAGCAAGGTTTCCTGCTCACAAATTGCTGTTTCCATTGTTCTCCCGTCTTCCTCTCTGAAAGTAAATAGTTTAAAGAGTGACTATATCGGCTCTGGCCAGAGAGCTCAGTCATTTATAGATAGGATTGTCCTGATCTACCCATTTCTTCGCTCAGGCTGCCCTGTGAGCCCCCACTGCCCCGCTTGCTCTCTCAAGAGCAAATCATTCCGGGGGAAACTGCCTCCACTAAACAGCGCGCACCATTGAAGGGGGCAGCCCTCCCCGTCGCGGCCTCAGGAAACCGGTGCCCGCTGCTCCCTAAACCGGGACTTCGGGACTGAGAAGGCACTCTCCCTGCCAAGCAGGCGTTTGCTGCGCTGAAGTCGCTTCCCCAGGAGGCAGGGTTTGCGAGGGTGAAATCAGAGGCGGCTAAAGGGAGCCTGATGCCCCGAATCCGCTCCTGCCAGGGGGTCACCGCCAGACACACCGCGGGGTCGGGGCAGCGCGAAGGGCGACGGAGAATCCCTTCCCGGGGGCTGGGCAGCACCGCTGGCGCTACAAAGAGAAACCAAGAGAGAAACCGCTTCTGAGAAAAAGTCCGCTGGGCGCACCTAGTCCCCAGCAGCCACAGACAAAAGGCGGAGGCCCCAGGCTGCGGAGCATCTAAGGGCGCCAGGAATAACCAAGTTGCAAACAAACGCCTGCCGCCCTGAAAGCGCGGACCCGGGAACGGAGCGGTGCTAACACCCAAAGCGGGTCCCGGGGTGAAGTCCAATCAGAGATCACCAGGCTTGGAAATCCCCGGGGCGGACATTGCGCAACATAACCGGGCCCAACACAACCGATTTCCCGTAAATGCTTAGAAAATCAGAAAGAAAGCGGAAGTCATCCCCCTACAATGGTCTGAGACAGTCACTTTTTTTTTCGTGCTGAAAACCCGGATCAAATCCGATAGAGTCATTTTTAAATTTTTTTCTTGAAATTTAGAGAGCCAGGGAAACGTCGATTTGTTTTTCCACTTCTTTATGCATTCATTGTTGCTTCTTGTATGTGCCCTGACCCAGGGATTCAACCACAAACCTTGTTATATTCGGAGTATGTTCTAAACAGCTGAGCATTCTAGCCAGCGCCAGAGAGAGGCAGGTTTTAAACAATTTATTTACTTTTAGAGAGAGAGGACGGGAGAACAATGGAAACAGCGATTTGTGAGCCAGAAACCTTGGAATACCCTGTGTCTATTTATACAGAACTGAGCACACTGAGCTCTCCGAACAGACACCCATTGATATTTCTTTTTTTTAATGCATTTTATTGATATTTTACAGAGAGGAAGGGAGAGGGATACAGAGTCAGAAACATTGATGAGAGAGAAACATTGATCAGCTGCCTCCTACACATGTGCTACCGGGGATGTGTCCGCAACAGAGGTACAGGCTTTTGACCCGAATCGAACCTGGGACCCCTCAGTCCACAGGCCGACGCTCTATCCACTGAGCCAAACCGGTGCTGGCAATATATTTCTATCTCTCCCTTTCCCCTCCTCTCTGAAATCAATAAAAAATATATAAAAAATAAAAATCATATACATATTATACATACATAGAGACATAAACATACAGACAGACACTCACGAGTTCTCCTGGTTTCAGTAGAATAGGATGAATTATCAAGAAGCTTCAACATAGGATTCGGCGCTCTTACCACTGCGGCCAGGGTTCGGTTCCCGCTCAGGGAACCAAAAAAAAAAAAAAAAAAAAAAAAAAAAAAAAGAAGTTTCAACAGAGATGGCTCAGGGTCAGAGAGCTCCACACTAAGGGAGGGGAGCTCAGAGCTGAGCTTTACCCTGGAACTCCAAGGCCCTGGGGGAGGCAGACAGGGCAGTGGGCTCAGGGGTACCAGCACCCGCTACTCACCAGCCTGGGGGGGTCATCAGGCCTCTTGTCCCCAACCTGCTTCTTGGCCACAACAACTATTGAGAGAAAATTCGGAGCCCTTCCTTCCTAGGAAGACAATCTGAAAACGGCCATGCAGCTCAGAGGCTGGGTTTAAGGGCAGCTTGTGAAGCGAACAGAGGAAGTAGCTTGCCCTTTACAGAGGTTGGCTGTCAGGACGCGTGACTTTGGTAAACCAATGTTTAGAAGGGGGCGGGGAGGGGCGGGGCTAAATGGGTATTGATTGACTTGCTTGCTCCAGTGTTTACTTGAAATGTAGGGCTCGAACACCGTTACACGTTACACGTCTGGTTTAGTCCGGTTTAGGTTCGAACACGATTACACGTTCTGTTTAGGCTCCAACACGATTAAGTGACATAATTATGTCGATATCTTGAGTAAAGCAATGTTTTACTTTGCATGGACGGATAGCCCGAAGGCTGATCTGCCGCCGGGTGTCCGTGCAGAGGAATTTGTCCAGCAGAAAGGCCGTTCTGCCATTGGGTGTCAGTGCAGAGGAATTCCTCCAGCAGAAATCCGATCTGCCGCCGGGTGTCCGTGCAGCGGTATTCGTCCAGCAGAAAGGCCGTTCTGCCACCGGGTGTCTGTGCAGTGGAATTCCTCCAGCAGAAAGGCCGATTTGAAAAAAGAAAAAGAAAAAATAGAAAGGCCGATCTGCCATTGGGTGTCAGTGCAGAGGAATTTGTCCAGTAGAAAGGCCGATTGGCGCCGGGTGTGCGAGCAGCATTATTCATCCAGCAGAAAAGCTGATCTGCCGCCAGATGTGCGTGCAGCGTTACTCATCCAGCAGAAAGGCCGATCTGCCGTTGGGTGTCAGTGCAGAGGAATTCCTCCAGCAGAAATCCGATCTGCCGCCGGGTGTCCGCGCAGCGGTATTCGTCCAGCGGAAAGGCCGATCTGCTGTTGGGTGTCAGTACAGAGGAATTCCTCCAGCACAAAGGCCGATCTGCCGCTGCATGTGCGTGCAGCGTTATTCGTCCAGCAGTCCGTGCAGCGGTATTCGTCCAACAGAAAGGCCGATCTGCCACCTGGTGTCTGTGCAGAGGAATTTGTCCAGCAGAACGGCCCACGTTCCGCCCGGTGTCCGTGCAGCGGTATTGGGATGTCCGTGCAGCGGTATTGGGGTGTCCGTGCAGCGGTATTGGGATGTCCGTGCAGCGGTATTGGGGTGTCCGTGCAGCGGTATTGGGATGTCCGTGCAGCGGTATTCGGATGTCCTGCAGCGGTATTGGGTTGTCCGTGCAGCGGTATTGGGATGTCCGTGCAGCGGCATTCGTATCGCAGAAAGGTCGATCTGCCACAGGGTGTCAGTGCAGAGGAATTGGTCCAGTATGAAGGCTGATATACCCCCGGGTGTCGGTGCACTGGGGGCGGGGAGGGTCGGGTCTTACTGTGTATTGAATGACTCGATGGAGTGTTTAGTTGAAATTTAGGGCTCGAACACGATTAAGTAATTGGTTTAGGCACCCGCCCCCTCCCCCCCGGGAGAGCATAAATATCCAGGCTGCAGGCAGCACCCAAGGCTTTGCCTCTGCATCAGCTCCAGGCTCATGTCCTCCTGCCCCAAGATCTCTGCGATGGAGCCGCACTTTCTCCTGGACCACGACGTGCTGCGGCAGGCTTGGGATTCCGCAGACCGGGCTCCAGAGCGCCATCCTCCGTGGTCCCCGATCTCCCCAGACCCGCTACCTCCTGTCCTCGTGCCGCTGGCAGAGTCCTCAAGCCACCACAGCGATGACCACCAGCCACTGCTCTCCAGTCCTTGTTGGCAGCTGCCCTCGGTCCTCCTGCGATACCGAGCACTCTTAGCTGAGGCCCAGAGCCCCTCGGAAGAGAGCCCGGTGCAGCCCGGTGCAGGCCTCTTGCCAGGATTCGTGCCGATGCCAGGAGTACCCGCAGGAGCGCCTGAGCCCACAGAGCACACGTTGGGGCAGCTTCCGGTGGCCCTGCGGCCCAACGCCCATGCTGGAGAGGGACCAGTGGACACGGAGGCCTGGGACCACTTGCAGCCTTCAGTGTGCAGCCCAGCTCCGGGCCCCACCGGCTGGCGCCTGCACCTGCTCTGCTCGGGCTGCCTGCAGTGCATCCTTCGTGCTCTCTCCTCTTTGAGCCGCTGGGCTGCTGACCGCTGGGCGACAGTCCTGGACACTTAGGAGCCCGAGGCGGTGGCAGGAGGGCGCCGACTGTGGACATGAGTCCTGAATCAAATGGAAGTCTCTTTTAATATTAAATATTTTGTCCAGACCACGGAGTTCTGCTTAATTTATATAAGTACTCAGTCTTTTTAGGGCCAATAAAAGATGAGATCTCAGTGATGCTATCCGGAGGCTGAAAATTCACCTCACGTAATACACAGACAAACAGGGATCAGGTCGTCCCTGCGGCTCACGATCAGCCCAATGGTCTCCCAGCCGGGCTCCTTGCCCTCGCTTGATCCATGGACCTGATCGCCTCGGATGTACTTGGAAAAGTCGCTCTTCTGGCTGAGCAGCTGGCCGTCCGTGAACTTGCCTGTGTCGAGCAGGGCGCGCACTTCCTCGCTGATCTGCCGCCCGGGCTCCGCGCACAGGAATTCGTCCACACGCAGATGCGGTGCTTGGCGATGTGCTCCCCGCGGGCAGCGGCTTGTCTGCCTGATGGGCCGCAGGCTGCCGGCCTGGCTCAGCCCCTCGCACGCACGGCGCGTGGCTCGGCGGGCACTGGTTCGCCTTCTCCTGCAGCAGCGACGAGCGGACCAGCGGCTCCTCTTTCGCGGACTCCGCCTCAGCCGCCGCCACCGCCGCCGTGTCCAGGTCCTGGGCGGCGTCACAGCAGGCGCCGGGACCGGGGGGAGGGAGCGAGGCCGGAGCTGGGGGGGGAGGAGCGAGGCCCGGGCTGGGGGGTGGGGGGACGGCGCTCTCGCCGCTCTGGCACACGAGCTCGTGCTTCTTCTCGTCCTGGCGCTGGCGCTCCGAGCAGCGGCAGAAGGAGCGCCGGCAGAGGGAGCCGGGGCAGAAGGAGCGCCGGCAGAGGGAGCCGGGGCAGAAGGAGCGCCGGCAGAGGGAGCCGGGGCAGAAGGAAAGCCGGCAGAGGGAGCCGGGGCAGAAGGAGCGCCGGCAGAGGGAGCCGGGGCAGAAGGAAAGCCGGCAGAGGGAGCCGGGGCAGAAGGAGCGCCGGCAGAGGGAGCCGGGGCAGAAGGAGCGCCGGCAGAAGGAGCGCCGGAGAGGGAGCCGGGGCAGAAGGAGCGCCGGCAGAAGGAGCGCCGGAGAGGGAGCCGGGGCAGAAGGAGCGCCGGCAGAAGGAGCCGGGGCAGAAGGAGCGCCAGCAGAGGGAGCCGGGGCAGAAGGAGCGCCGGCAGAAGGAGCCGGGGCAGAAGGAGCGCCGGCAGAAGGAGCGCCGGAGAGGGAGCCGGGGCAGAAGGAGCGCCGGCAGAAGGAGCGCCGGAGAGGGAGCCGGGGCAGAAGGAGCGCCGGCAGAAGGAGCCGGGGCAGAAGGAGCGCCGGCAGAGGGAGCCGGGGCAGAAGGCGCGCCGGCAGAGGGAGCCGGGGCAGAAGGAGCGCCGGCAGAGGGAGCCGGGGCAGAAGGAGCGCCGGCAGAGGGAGCCGGGGCAGAAGGAGCGCCGGCAGAGGGAGCCGGGGCAGAAGGAGCGCCGGCAGAAGGAGCGCCGGCAGAGGGAGCCGGGGCAGAAGGAGCGCCGGCAGAAGGAGCCGGGGCAGAAGGAGCGCCGGCAGAGGGAGCCGGGGCAGAAGGAGCGCCGGCAGAGGGAGCCGGGGCAGAAGGAGCGCCGGCAGAGGGAGCCGGGGCAGAAGGAGCCCGGCAGAGGGAGCCGGGGCAGAAGGAGCGCCGGCAGAGGGAGCCGGGGCAGAAGGAGCGCCGGAGAGGGAGCCGGGGCAGAAGGAGCGCCGGCAGAAGGAGCGCCGGAGAGGGAGCCGGGGCAGAAGGAGCGCCGGCAGAAGGAGCCGGGGCAGAAGGAGCGCCAGCAGAGGGAGCCGGGGCAGAAGGAGCGCCGGCAGAGGGAGCCGGGGCAGAAGGAGCGCCGGCAGAGGGAGCCGGGGCAGAAGGAGCGCCGGCAGATGGAGCCGGGGCAGAAGGAGCGCCGGCAGAAGGAGCGCCGGCAGAGGGAGCCGGGGCAGAAGGAGCGCCGGCAGAAGGAGCCGGGGCAGAAGGAGCGCCGGCAGAGGGAGCCGGGGCAAAAGGAGCGCCGGCAGAGGGAGCCGGGGCAGAAGGAGCGCCGGCAGAGGGAGCCGGGGCAGAAGGAGCCCGGCAGAGGGAGCCGGGGCAGAAGGAGCGCCGGCAGAGGGAGCCGGGGCAGAAGGAGCGCCGGCAGAGGGAGCCGGGGCAGAAGGAGCGCCAGCAGAGGGAGCCGGGGCAGAAGGAGCGCCGGCAGAGGGAGCCGGGGCAGAAGGAGCGCCGGCAGAGGGAGCCGGGGCAGAAGGAGCGCCGGCAGAGGGAGCCGGGGCAGAAGGAGCGCCGGCAGAGGGAGCCGGGGCAGAAGGAGCGCCGGCAGAGGGAGCCGGGGCAGAAGGAGCGCCGGCAGAGGGAGCCGGGGCAGAAGGAGCGCCGGCAGAGGGAGCCGGGGCAGAAGGAGCGCCGGCAGAAGGAGCCGGGGCAGAAGGAGCGCCGGCAGAAGGAGCCGGGGCAGAAGGAGCGCCGGCAGAAGGAGCGCCGGCAGAGGGAGCCGGGGCAGAAGGAGCGCCGGCAGAAGGAGCCGGGGCAGATGGAGCGCCGGCAGAGGGAGCCGGGGCAAAAGGAGCGCCGGCAGAGGGAGCCGGGGCAGAAGGAGCGCCGGCAGAGGGAGCCGGGGCAGAAGGAGCCCGGCAGAGGGAGCCGGGGCAGAAGGAGCCCGGCAGAGGGAGCCGGGGCAGAAGGAGCGCCGGCAGAGGGAGCCGGGGCAGAAGGAGCCCCGCAGAGGGAGCCGGGGCAGAAGGAGCCCGGCAGAGGGAGCCGGGGCAGAAGGAGCGCCGGCAGAGGGAGCCGGGGCAGAAGGAGCGCCGGCAGAAGGAGCCGGGGCAGAAGGAGCGCCGGCAGAAGGAGCGCCGGCAGAGGGAGCCGGGGCAGAAGGAGCGCCGGCAGAAGGAGCCGGGGCAGAAGGAGCGCCGGCAGAGGGAGCCGGGGCAAAAGGAGCGCCGGCAGAGGGAGCCGGGGCAGAAGGAGCGCCGGCAGAGGGAGCCGGGGCAGAAGGAAAGCCGGCAGAGGGAGCCGGGGCAGAAGGAGCGCCGGCAGAGGGAGCCGGGGCAGAAGGAGCGCCGGCAGAGGGAGCCGGGGCAGAAGGAGCGCCGGCAGAAGGAGCGCCGGAGAGGGAGCCGGGGCAGAAGGAGCGCCGGCAGAAGGAGCGCCGGAGAGGGAGCCGGGGCAGAAGGAGCGCCGGCAGAAGGAGCGCCGGAGAGGGAGCCGGGGCAGAAGGAGCCGGGGCAGAAGGAGCGCCAGCAGAGGGAGCCGGGGCAGAAGGAGCGCCGGCAGAGGGAGCCGGGGCAGAAGGAGCGCCGGCAGAGGGAGCCGGGGCAGAAGGAGCGCCGGCAGAGGGAGCCGGGGCAGAAGGAGCGCCGGCAGAGGGAGCCGGGGCAGAAGGAGCGCCGGCAGAAGGAGCGCCGGCAGAAGGAGCGCCGGCAGAGGGAGCCGGGGCAGAAGGAGCGCCGGCAGAAGGAGCGCCGGCAGAAGGAGCGCCGGCAGAAGGAGCCGGGGCAGAAGGAGCCCCGGCAGAGGGAGCCGGGGCAGAAGGAGCGCCGGCAGAAGGAGCCGGGGCAGAAGGAGCGCCGGCAGAGGGAGCCGGGGCAGAAGGAGCCCGGCAGAGGGAGCCGGGGCAGAAGGAGCCCGGCAGAGGGAGCCGGGGCAGAAGGAGCCCGGCAGAGGGAGCCGGGGCTGAGGGAGCCGGGGCAGAAGGAGCGCCGGCAGAGGGAGCCGCAGCAGAAGGAGCCGGGGCAGAAGGAGCCGGGGCAGAAGGAGGGCCGGCAGAGGGAGCTGGGGCAGAAGGAGCGCCGGCAGAGTTAGCGATTTGAGAGCAGGAAACTTTGCTGTACCAGAGACACCGATATATTCCCATTCCCCAATCCACTGGCTTCAGGAAAGCCCATCTTGACAAGGAATCACTGCAAAGGGCAAGCTCTGAATTTTCTCTCAACAGTTCTTGTGGCCAAGAAGTGGGGTGGGGACAAGAGGCCTGGTGACCCCCCAGGCTGGTGAGTAGCGGGTGCTGGGACCCCTGAGCCCACTGCCCTGTCTGCCTCCCCCAGGGCCTTGGAGTTCCAGGGTAAAGCTCAGCTCAGAGCGCTCCACTCCCTTAGTGTGGAGCTCTCTGATCCTGAGCCATCGCTATTGAAGCTTCTTGATAATTCATCCTGTTCTACTGAAACCAGGGAAACTCGTGAGTCCCTGTGTGTTGGAAGAGCCGGTGAGTAACAGGGTCCCTCAGTTTAGATGTTTTAGGAAATCCAGAGGCGAAGGGGGTTTCCTCCTGGGCCAATACAAGAACCAGGATCCTCTGCCTTTGGGGGAAATGGGTGAGCTTTTGGATAGTTTGGAACTGTAGTGCCTGCTTTGGGGAAACATTAACTAAGATAGTCCACCTACAGCTGCCCGTTAAAAGCAAGGATTCTGGATGGTCTGGGACAGTGGTCAGCAAACTCATTAGTCAACAGAGCCAAATATCAACAGTACAACGCTTGAAATTTCTTTTTTTTTTTTTTTGAGGTGGCAAAGACTTTTATCTATTTATTTTTTTTCCTGTGGATGAAATTACACAGAGGCAACAATGAGAGAAAATTCACTGTAGATCTCCAAACTTCAATGATCCCATTCTTTTGTGTAGTGGAGTAGAAATAGTTGCCATTTGAATGTGAAATGCTGTCATCTAGTGGATTTTAGACTTTACCATGGACATGATTCCCATCCAGAAATGTCCCTGGAGAGTCTTGAGTTGTCAGCGTTCACATGATTATTCTTATCTTTTTTTTCCTCATCTTGAGGTGAGAGACAGAAGTGAATGCATTGGAAGTTAGAGAAGTTGTTCAGTAATGAGATATAGCGCAGACCAGGGATAGAAGAGATGTGGGAGCAAAGGAAAAGAGGAGGTTGGGTGTATTGCTTGTGTGGGGTGTACTGTATCTGAAGTAGGGATTATTACCTCATTTTACAAAAGCTCAGAGTGGTCTAAGAACTTCCCGTGGCCACACAGCTGACGAGTGAAGGAGCTGGGTTTTGAAAAATAGGATGTTGAAAATAACAGGAATATGTGAAGACAGCAAGAAAGGTCAAAATCTAACATGAGCTGGGTGGTGGGGTAACAGTTTTTTAATTGATGGATGGTTGTTAG